AATATTCTATATGCCTATAAATTAAATAAAGTGTTTTTTGTCAACAACTATAAATTGATTAAAACGGTTCATAATTCTGCACTAGGAAAAAAGAGTTTACATAACCAAGAGAGACCCTATGAGTTATGTTATATATCTTAGAATTTGAGGAATATGAATTTTTACAAATTAGTTCAAGTAAAAATTGGCCATTATTCTCAGAGCAGTATCTGAGAGCAATGATTTGAATGGAGCAAAATAAGAAAGTTTTGTAGGAATTTTTTTTAAAAAATGTGTGAGTTCCAAATCATTATGTGTAGAATATTTTATATAATTATATAATAAAAAAGAAAAAAAAATTTGTTTATGACTTTTCATTTTCTAAAATATTTTCCAAAAAAAAATTGTTTTTGTTCACAGAAACTTCGGACTTTTTAGGTAAAATTTATAGGAATTAAAATGTTAGTTTTCGTATAGGGTCCCAAAAATCTTAGATCAGGCTTTCGCCATTCTATCGGTGCGTATTTGTCATCTTCATTAGTTCAGAGAAATCTATTACAAATGTCATGGTCGTCGATATAAACTATATAGCCCAGATAAACCTTTTATGATTGAATTCTTTTCAAAAAGATTTGTCAATGAAACAACAAAGAAATCCAGAGTATGGGCTAAAGTGTTTTGGTTATCCATGTTTTGCTGTGTAACTTGACTTAGTTCTCAAGTGGTAGCTTCACTTTCCGCAATCTTAATGACTTCCTTCGGATCTCTGTCCACATCTTTAAAGATTTTATCACTCCATGCTTGCGAGATATATATACCAAAAATATCCACAAATAGCTATTATTTTAGTAGTTTTCTGTAATTCTCCAAAATAGAAAATATTTAATTATCTTTTACTCAATTGTCAATAGCGTTTCATATGCGACTGATACTGTATACATTAGAAACAAGTTAATTTAATAAATTTTGATAGTAATCTTACATTGAAATCAATAAACTAGGAACTATTGAATTTCAATTGTATGTTCATAATATCGGAGTTCCGACATTCCAACATACGACAATCTCATTTTCATTTTTAGTATACTTGTTAAGTAATTGATGTTTGTATTTGTAAACGAGAACATAGTTCAGTTCTGATATATATATAATGAGACAAAATCCATTAAAAAGATTGTTGACATGTTTGGAAAATTAGAGTCCGTGAGAACTTAGTTAAAGTTTCTGTTTGGCAAAAAGTTGATTCCTTCAAATTAACACCAGTGTTCTAAAAAGCGTTCTAGGCGTTTGCCTAGGCGGCGCTTAGGCGCTAGGCCCCTATAGACCGTGACGATTACCGCTTTTGCCGCCTAAAATATTATGGTATTATTATAATAAAATACTATAATTTTTTTATATATAAATTATAAAATTTTATATATTTAGCTATTAAATGATGAATATAAATACAATATAAATTTTATTAGTTATAAATTATGATTTTTTATATATTTTATTATATATATCTAATATATTATATATTTTTGTAAAACGCTTAAACCGCCTATTAAATCGCCTAAGCTCCGATTATGCGTTTTAGGCACTAGGCATTGGGTCACCGCCCGCTTAGCGCCTAGCGCTTTCTTGAACATTGATTAACACATTAATTTTTTTAGTGTTTATAAAATGAAGTTGAAATGGTAGAAAATAGATTGGACGATAAGACGAATTTTAATTTCAGAAGGCAAAATATGCATCAAAACATTCTTCTATCTATGCAACAATTAATATTCATCCATTAATTTCCATCGAAAGGGTAACAAGACAATTGTAAAGACATAAAACTTCGAATTATATTGTCAATAAAACATAATAACAAGGAATTATCGTTTTATTCAATCTAAACAGTATAAGAAACATATAGTTTAAACAGTTTTAGAGATAGAGACACAGTGAGTCCACAAATCATCTCGCTTCTTTAAGTATTGAGATTCTTTGGCAATTAAGCTTGGTCTATCTGAAATGTATTTGATTAGCTTATCGTGACACATTTTCCCTTCTTCGACAAGGTCGTGGCAACATGAATTGGATAGAGTGCCATCTCCAAATACAACATCAATAATATCCAACGCACACTTAGGGGTGATTTTAAGAAGACATGTATCCCACAATGTTTTTGCTTCGACTTCTTCAACAGAATAAACTGGAACAAATGCACACACCAAAGCTACAACGATGAATAACGCAATTTGTTGAGTGCTAAATTTTGCCATAGCTTCTTGTGTTTGAGAATATCATGATTTATTGTTTTGGAACGAAAAAGATGTGGAGATAGTTTGTTGTATTTGTTATTTTGAAAAATGAATGAGGGTGTGTAAGTTATTTATATGACGGAAACCCAAGAATTTTATCATAACCCATTTTATATGTAAACGTTATAAATTAATGACACAATTTAAGTTCAAGATAATTAAACTAGTAACGCAAATGAAATTTGTTCTCTATAAACGTTTTAAAAAGTTAAGAATATACTTAATGAAATAAGCATATGATCAGTTCGATATAACAAATTGAATGTTAAAAAAAAAACAAATTGAATGTTTAGATTTTTATTGTGTTGAAACTTTGAACTGAATTAATCATTAGAATCATAAAGTAAGGGTCGGCAATATAATTAGGGTCCTACTCAAAATACTAAACAAGAGCTAGCTTGGGTCATAAATACTGTATATAGATGCTTTTCTTAAGTGGAACCAAAAATACCAGTGGCGTGTTCTTTAACTTGCCGCAGCGGCAGCGGCAGCGTCGGCGTTACAAAAAAAGCTTTGTATTTATGTTCTTTGTAACGCATGTGTGTGGAGTGTAATGATGCCGGCGTTGACGCAACAAAGAACATAACCACCAGATCGTGACGCTGCGTCTCCGAAAGTGTCGCTGAGTTTTGCCTGCGGCAACGAAAAGTGACGCTGCGTCTCCGTAACCACCATCGGCGATCAACTCTCCACAACCTTGGGCTCCAACTAACTTGTATTTTAACTATTACTTTGTAAAAGTTTTGGTCGCTGCCGCTGTGGCTGCGTGTTGTTAAAGAACATGCTCCAGCTAGCGATATAACAAGCAAAGTGATGGACCAAAACATTCTTCGAAGAGACATCTAGCAATGTTGCTAAACTAGTTTACTTTGGTGTGACTTTTGAGATAGTCATAATACTTTCACTTTAAATAAAGAGACATGTTCTCCAACACATAGCATG